CCCCGCACCCCCCACCGCATGCTTGTGCTTACACCTGCAAGTTACTATTCATCCTCCGATGCTCAGCAGGCTCCTAATTGCTTCAGCTGGATATCCCTCTCCTTACTGCCAGCCTGTCTCAGCGTGGGGGACTCTTCTTGCTTCCCTGCGCTGCAGGAGCTGGCATGAGGTCTCCCTTCCCAGCAGACTGAGGCACCAGCCCCATGTCTCTGTTTCTCCAGGGTGCGTCGACATGCTGAGTATAGAGGGGCATTTCACCTTCACAGCAGAGCAACCGCAGCTGCACTGCGCGACCTTCTTCATCGGGGAGCCCGAGGAGCTCATCACAATAGACTATGACTTTGTAAACATCGACTGCCAAGGGGGCGATTTCTTGAAGGTAAGAAACTGGCGAGTCCTGCTGCGCTTCCCCTTCCCTGTTCTCCTCTGACATGCAGGATCTCTGCTACGTGTGGAAGGGGCAGGCGAACGCGTGTGCGCACTGTGTGTGCAGAACAGGCTTTCAAGATGCAGCCAGCCAAGACAAGGTGCTCAACCCTGTTAGGGAGGTTTTCTTATTGCATCATGAATCACACGAGTCCTGCAGATAGTGATACAGCCCTCTGAATGGCTGTTACTGCTCCGGGACCTCTGCTCACAGGTCACTTAGCATCAGCTTATTAAGGAGTGGATCATTGCAGGCTTTCTTTCAAATGGCCCCACTATAGCTTTTCACTTTGGCTCTGAACAGGAAGAGGTTTGTGACTCGGAGCCGTTTATTTTCCATTATCAAATTTTACCAGCACGTTTGGCTAGTAGACGGAAGTGTTGACCAATATCTGAACTTGGCTCAGGAGAGAAGGGGAGGCTCAACAGCCCCTGGCTGCTCCCCTCACCTTGGGCTCTGCCCCTTGCTCTGTGATGGCACAGACCCCATGCTGTCTGATGGCAAGCTGAGCTCCTGGGAGGAGGAGGAGAAGGATAGGTGCCCTTCAGCCCTTTCCTTGTCTACCTGTCCTGGAGGGGTGCTGCCTCCGGCACACTTTATCCTGGGGAATCCTGTCCCTGTATCCCCTACCCCTGCCTGGGATCTCTCCCCATGTTGCTACAGGGAGGCCGATTTCAACCTCTTGTGGGTCCGGGGGATTTGTACCTAGACTTAGAGCCACTTATGGGGGCTAGAAAAATGCCAAGAGATCTTTCAGGCTTTATAAGGGTTTCCTTCACTGGAAGATGAAGTCCCCAGTTTCTGCATTGTACTATTGTATTTATACAGGCAGCTTTTCCCTGATGTAATTTGAGCATCCATCTCTTGTTACTTCAGAAAACTTACAGTTCTGGTAAATCCAGAGACTTATCCTGCAGGTTTTCCATGACAAAGACCCACACATACTCACATTAGGATTACTCCCTGAAACAATGGCAGGATATGGTTCTTGGATTTTTGAAGTACTGACTGCAGCTTAGAAGGAATTACCAGGTGAGAGTGGCTAGGAGGGAATTGAAAGAGCAAGGCAGGCAGCTGCACAGCTATGCTAGAGTTAATACACATTTCCAGTTTTGACACATTTCTGACAGGTTTTCCTGAAGACTGCGAGGGCAAATTGTTGCCATTTTTGTTGAAGGAAAGATATGTAGAGATAGCTGTTTGAGGTCCAGACAAGTAGGCAGCATTTGTCCTACTTTCTAGTGCTTAGGACCAGTTGAAAGAAGAGACACAGGAGAGAGCAATATCTCTGCCAATAATTCCTCCCTGAAGCTTTATTGTATTCCAATAACTCTGGAAAGCCTCTGGGGCCATTAATGACAAGCTGCAAAACATGGATGGTGGAAAATTACAGGCCAGATCAATGGACTTAGTGCTCAGAGTTTGAGAGGGTGACTTATGTTTCATCTGGCTTCCAAGTCGAGCCGATCAAAACATTCTCATAGCAACAATGAAATTGCAACAGTAAGTAATAAAAAAATTCATGCAAATGTGATGATGCTGGAGCAAAAATGCCTGCTTCCTTCACAAAAAGTTCACCAAAATTGTCACCTGGAGATAAAGACAACACTGAAATTTAAATGTATCCCTTTCCTTAATACAGATTAAAGCTTGAATAATTAGTGAAATCCTAGGAAATTGATAAATACAAAGAATTTTTGGTTTAAATTACTGGCTTTGAACAGGCCATCTGGTGTCAAAATAAAACAGTGTCTGTAATACTTCATGTTTCTCTCCTCTGCTAACAGAGTGATAAGCAAAAGCCTTGTTTTCAATTACTGAACCCCTGTAGATATTTGATGGCTGGATACTCAAAGGAGAGAAATTTCCCAGTTCCTCGGACCATCCCCTCCCCACTACCCAAAGATACGTAGACTTTTGTGAAAGTGGCAATGTTCGGAGGAGCATCAGGTCATCACAGAACGTGGCAATGATCTTCTTCAGGATTCACCAGCCAGGCAATGGATTTACCATCACAGTCAAGAAAAACACCAACCTCTTTCGTAAGTCTGCCTTTTATGCCATCAAATGGGCTTGCGTCTGTGGCGGGAAGCAAAATGAATGTGTTGATTTGCATTGGCTTCCCTCACTGGGTTTATCTGCACAGCATTTGACGCAGGCTCAGTGTGTGTCTCAAGGAAAAAAAGTGAAGTGTAGGAGATAACTTAAGCATAGCTTCAGTCTTCAGGAGCAGAAAGCCCTGTCTTCCAAAGAAGATCTCTTCCAATCTAATATGGTCATGTTCCAATACATTTGGCTAGCACAGAGTGTATTCATTTAGATTAGCAATTTCTAGGTCTGGGTGAACTATGAGGAAAAAACGTTTGAGGAAGTTCAACAGCAAAACCAGCGTATTGAACAGTTAACATATAGTTATGAACGATATGTGATCCCAAGGATCTATTGGCAAGTTATTTCCCTAAGCCTGTGAGTTGGCAGGGCACAAATAATGGTCACTTGCATTGTTTTTCCAAGAGGGGACAGGACATCCAACAATTATAGGTCAGACTGGCCTGAACAATCTGCCTCACCATGCGAAGAATGAACATGGTGGGATGTCTGCCCTGTCCTTACTCCGAGTGGTTCAGACACAAGCCTGCAAGCTGAGTCTCCACGCTGGGATGGCTTCGTGCTTGTGGGTGTGATTATGGTGTGCAGCTGTGGGAGGTGGCTTGTGTCCTTCACCAGCCTGCTGAAGCAGCTCCAGGCCTCCAGGTCTGCGTGGAGGATCCCTTGGGTTGAGCGCGCAGATAAGCTTACCTGAACTGTTAAGTTTGAACTTTAAGTTAAATCAGCATGTACCCATTCTAGTTGCAGGGTAGGGAGCTCCAGTTAAGAGGAGCAGAACAGGACTTAGGGGTTTGCTGGCAATATCAGGTGATAACCAGCCAAAAGCTAAATAAAAGCCCTGCATCCATAGTTAGCTTCTTTCAAACTGGCAAACAGTACCAGCCCTTGACGTATGGATCTGGGGTGTGAGCTCTCACATTCCCCGCTTCACCCTCAGCTTCTGCCAGATCACATGCTACATGGTAAGCAATGAGCAGGGAATTTTTTAGGGAACAAACGCTGCGCAGGAACCTCGGAAAATGCCATATGCATGTTTTTCAACATTTGGTTCTAATTCTCAGTAATTAAATAATCTGTTCTTTGTTAGTAATTAAAGTACATCATTTTGCCACATGCAGTGATGACTGCACAAGTAACTTGTACCTTCTCCTGTGCCCCAGCTTGCAATGTCATCTCTCAGACTCCCTCGGGAAGGTTTACCATGGTCATTCCTCACCAGCACAGAAACTGCAGCTTCTCCATAATCTACCCAGTCGTGATAAAAATATCTGATCTTATCCTGGGACATTTAAATGGCCTCTTTTTAAAGGTGAGTTTTTAGTTTCCTAAGAAATCACCACCATGCGTGGTTTTTCTGGGCATGGGAGAGGGAAGGGGGTGAAGTGGGGATAGCCTGTGGCACTGGCTGCTAGGGCATGTGTGCTCCGGACCACGTGCATGCGCACTGCGGGCTTGGTTTCCCCTCAGAGACAAGAGCTGGGTCTGTCTCTGTCATTATTGTCTAATATTGCAGAGACAATCAAATTATGCAAAGTACCATTAATGCATGTAAATACTGCTTGCCATAACAAAGGGGAAGAATTTAATTAGAAAGAAAGGAGTGCTTTCCTGAAGAGCTGTCTGTAAACTAATGAAAGCAGCAACCACACTGAGCAGAGAGACACAGGCTAGATAGTGAGGTATTAGCAAGGAGAAACTACAACATGCTCACAACTGACTCCCCGCTCGGCGTGCTGAGCATCCTCTACTCCTTCTGCCCTGTTGCACAGCGCAGGGCCAGGGTTTGGCCACGGCATTTGGTGCTTGGTGATGACCAGACAGGAGAGGACAAGAGCATTTTTTAGTGGCACACTGTGCCTGGGAGATCTAAGAAGGTGCAAAGTTCAAAATATCCTGAAGGATAGGAGCATGAAAGTTTTTTTTTGTGCTGCTTGTGAGACTGGTAGACTGGGTCCTTCACAGGGACTGCGAGTGTCTGAGCAAACCAGGCTTCGAGAGCTGGGAGAGTTGACTTATTCAGCAGTGGGCAGGAAGGAGCAAAAGCAGGAAAATGATGAAATCAGGCATTTACATAACAGCATGTGGGTGACAGCCCGAAGGTGTGCAGGGTATCTGTGCAAGACGAATGCTGTATGCCAAAAACATTTTCAGCAAAAGAACACTTGTGGGTCTAATATACAGTGAGCCACTGTCTTCATACAAAACTACTCTTTCGGTTAATTCCTACTTTAGTTAAACTTTACTAGAATAGCACATTTTAGCAAAACTTATTGCTTAGGAATAAGTAGGGTATAGTGAAACTTAAGTTCCTGTCTGTCACAGCTGAGTGTGGGCACGCATGCAGCCCAAGCCTGTATTAATTTGATTACATGTCTAAGCATCCGGAATGGAATTTCTTATCTGCACTAAAAGCAGTTGAATCAACAACTTAACTAATTGCCAGTAGTTTCAGTGCCTATTTAGGTCTTTCTTTGGAATCCCTTAAGGAAATTAACTGACTAATACCAAATTGAAGTAGTGTTGCTCGGGATGAGAACAGCCTGATTTCACATAGGTTTGAGCACAGAGGACTTCTAAAACCTACTGATGACTGCAAACATGTCTAGAGAACTGATACCCTGCGAAGGTAAATTATAAATAACTTTTAATCTCTGCCTTTTTAGAAACCATCAGCAGGCTGTACGGGAGTGGGAGATTTTGTAGAGCTGCTAGGAGGAACTGGCTTAGACCCATCCAAGATGTTTCCGTTAGCAGATCTCTGTCACTCCTTTCATGGGTCTGGTAAGAATTCCTTCTTCCACTTACCTCCACATAACAAAATAATTAACCAGAGGGAGTCGTGTAGAGGCCCCCCTCCCAAACGCAGATTTCCTGCTAGACTGGTAAACTTGTAGCAGAACATGAGAGCTAAAGCTATTTGAGCCCGAGGCTGGGCTGTGTTATACAGCACACCCACAACCACCTTCACTTGCCCCTGCAGTAATCATGAAAACAAGGTTAAGTTACCCATATTTTTAAAATGTTTGTACTATGACATGCATGATTATTAGAATGTCAACAGATAGATGAGGCTGAACATTCATAACAAATGAAGGCAGAACAGTTATATTTTCAATTAAAGAGTTTTTTCTCACTTACTCAGTGTTTCCAAAGCCTCCTTCTCTGCCACAGGCGTAACACATGCCCCAAAAGCCTCAGAGCTCTTTCTCTGCTTTCAACCTTGAGGGAGTTCTGAACCTGTTTCGCTATCATCTTTCTGCCCATAAAAATAAGAATTCTCAGTTTCCCTAGTATTCAGTGATGCAGAGTATGAAGTGTTGCTGTGATGTGACAGACCAGTCCGTGTGGCACATGTGTTGTAACTTGGGAGTGCATCAGATAAGTGGGGAGAGCAGGTGCTTGCCTGGCACTTTGCCACCGTGGTCTCCATTGCCTTTCATCACACCACACCTTAATGATCCAGACACTACTGGAAGGTTTAACTGATGCCGAGTGAATACTAAGCTCTGTGATGAGATTAAAATGTGCTTTCCTGGTGGTGCGAAGGAAAAGAAATCCCACCTTGGCAGTCCCCAACTCTCCCAGTGACACAATGGTCCATCTAAAGCAGTGGTTAGTCATATGCTTGGTTTCCCCCATATACATGCTAAGCACTGCCTTTTGAATTTGCCATGCCTCTCTCACCTGCTTTTGTTACTCTGAAGAACCTCCTTACGCACAAAACCACCCATCCCTTTACCAGGAAACAATTAAATATTGTTAATTTTGGATATCTCCAGGATAGGGAGCACTTTCCCATCACTCGTGGTATCTAACAGTAGCACACCTTCCCAAATGCAAACATGTACAGACCTGTGCTACGTGTCTATCTATACACAAGTGAGCCTGCTGACGGATGGGAAGTGAGCGGCATTTGCGTGAGTAAAGGTTACAACTCTTACTTAAATACCCAAGCCATTGTAAAATGTGATTAAAAATAAGAAATGAGGTATTTCATCAGCAATACCACCACTGACTGCTCATTAGTACACACAAACTTGCTGTGTTTCCAAAATTGTATGGATGGGTGCTTTATAATTCCCAACATTTAAACATCTCTTTTCCCTCACTCTCATCTAAGTGTATCTCAGTATTTCCTCTACCTCTCTTTTCTCTGACTAGCCCAAATGAAGATTGGCTGTGACAATACTGTGCTGCGAATGGTGTCCAGCGGCAAACACATCAACCGTGTGACATTTGAGTATCATCAACTCGACCTGCAGGAAGCAGAAAACAGAAAGGAGAATAGCATTGAGGAATTCTGCTTTCCTAGTATCTGACAAACCAGGCCACACATTTTCATATAGCTAGTGAAAATGAGGTTCTGGTGAATTCAAAAAAATGTATTTTTCCTTTAACCAGCTGGTATTATCAAGCCTTTCTACAGTAAAAGCGTATTTCTTTTTTTCATATAAATCAGTCATTCCCATGAGCAAGAAGGAAGAAGCAAACATTGTAGTAAACTTTATTATCATTATATTTCTTCCACAGTATTTAAGCTCGTTTACCTCATCCAAAATCAATAGCAAGAACAGAAGGCTATGTTTCCCATATAATTATTATTAGGAAAACAGGCACAGACCCTCTGTGCATCTAGCCTGAGGACACAGGAAACCCACAAAAAGTCTAAACTTCATGCAGTAACTTTATCCTTTTATGTAGGGTATAAACAAAAAAATTAGATGGTGGAATACACTTCCAGTTTTGTAAGAGGAAACCTGACATCAGTGTGTATAAAAACTACTGGTTTGTTTATGAATATAAATGTACTATTTATTTCTAATGACAAGTTTTTAATACAACTTTATAGCATGGAAACTCTGTTACACAAATCTGAACATAAATAAATACATTCAAAGAGTTGGCAAAACGTTATTATGTTGTATTTTTCTGAAGAGCTCTTTTAACATTCTGGTTAAACTTCCTAAGTCTTGTGCAGATTTCTCAGAATTATAATTCTGAACATATATTTCTGTAAATCTGTGGACTTAACATTTATTAACATTAAAGTAACATTATGGGCAGAAATTTGGTTTACCAACGTTCCATACACCTCCACGTGTAGTACATTCTAGCTGTACGCTCACTGACACCTTTCTGTTCAAGGTTTTTGGTCAGGTGTCCTGCTGACCCGTTGAGGCAGGGATATACAAATGCAGATTAATTTTTTCCAGACCTTTGGTGACCCAGAAAAGGAGTGTAAGCCCGTAAGGCTTTCGGAAGCAGAGTGCAGCAGAGGACCAGAGTCATGTCCTAGCTCGGAGGGAGGCACGTGGACTGATTTGTGTGTTTTCTGAGAGTACTACCTGGTAATGATGAAAGGAAACTGTTCCTCCTCCGACGTTCAATTAACTGTCAACACTGATTAATCCAGCTGCATGCCGGAGAGTTCAGCTCTGACTTCTGGCTCTTAATCTCATAGTCACTCACCAAAAATCAAGTGTCTTGAATATGCAGCAACTCTGAAGTTAATTCCCTCCAAGTGAAGTGGGTGAAAACAACAGGATGCCTGACTCTTCCTCTGTAGGGTTTTGGGAGCCCAGTGTTGGTGACTGACGCATGAACAAAGGGACATGCTTGGCAGCCTGGTCACACTCGGGCAAGTGTGTCCATCCTGCACGGCTGTGTTTATGGGAAAGGTGGGGATTGTAAGGATGTTTTTCTTTGGTCCAAACAAAAATCAGACAAAACCACTGGTGTCTACCCCAAGGCATGGAGCAGTCCTGGGTCAGGGGTATAAGGCGGGGGTCCTTGGCCAAAACATCCCTATTTCGTGCAACCCACTGGGCCCACAGTGCAGTGCTGGCATGGCCACTCAGCACTAGAGACATCAAACATTGTAATAGGTAAAAAAATTCATGGCCCAATGAAATAGGATTTTTCCTGAGGAAACTTGCAATGACAGAGGATCTCATGGCAGGGGGGTTGGAACTAGATGTTCTTTAATGTCCCTTCCAACCCTAACCATTCTATGATTCTATGATTCTATGATTCTGTACCTAACATCCTGCTCAGCTCATTCTTGCTAGGTGTCACTATAAAGGCAGCCCTAACCATGTCCAGCCCCACCAGCCTTCCCTGGGCACCCTTTGGTGAACCAAGAGAGCTTTCTGGGCTGGGCAGTTTGGGAATAGACTCAGTATTACTCAGAATAGACTCTGCTCTCATAGCAGACCATACCTATCCACATGCTTACCTTCAAACTGAATAGAGGAAATGGTCTTTAAAATGCTGCTCCTTGGTCACTAAAAACATGTGAGGAGTCAACAGATTTCAGTTCCAACAGCTTAGGACTAGATCACCAGTGAAGACATACTCACCGTCTCTTGCATAGTGCAGTTTCATAGTGGGATTTCCCACCTTTCAGTTTTATGTGGTACCTTTTCTTCAATCCTAACATGACAAATACCTCAAAAATCCCCATGCTTTATAGAAAAGATACTTTACATTCAGAGATTTTATTTCTCCTTTTGTAGTATACAGAAGTGGACACTACTAGAATCACAGAAACACAGAAAGGTTTGAGTTGGAAGGGATGTTAAATCTAACACCCCATCCAACACCCCCTTGACAAGGCAGGGACACCTTCCACTA